AMCYTTTTWMMMCCTGTAAAAATAACTTAGCATTTTATTTATCCTTTTTGTTTTATGATTCCAAATATTGGAAAATTCCGTWTTTCTGGCTCGCGTGCTATAGTAAATAGTTATTTTCAAGGGCATATGGAAATGACGTCAATAGGTGATTGTTGATATTCATATCCCGTGAAAATATCATGCACTTAAAGTTCCTTAAATAAACCGTTACTTTTCAATTTTTTATCACAGTCCTATTTCCCTTTTATCCTMATGACTTGCAAATTGTTTTCCTAATTTCACGAAGTTTTCATTAATGACGTCAAACATCTAAATATAGTCTCATTTAGATGCCAATTAATGAGAAAATGCATCAATATCCACTTGTTATCAATTGAGGCAAAAMATTTATACGACTCTTATGAAGTAGAGCACATCAGTGTTTACTCAGTTTTGTTATTGTGCGACGACTTAGCAGAAACAGTACATCTCACGCGGACGTCTTTTCGGCTCCGTTAAAAAGTGTAAATTTTAAGAGAATGTGTCACGGAGCTATTTTTTCTGCACTTTTAACTCGTGCCATTTTTTGCAGTCATGTTATTGTTTCTGTTGGTTTAGCCTACGTTCATATTAGAGAGAAACAGCTGTGGCTTGTTGTGTTGATTCTTTTGCTTCTGTTGATCGAGACGGTTTACATCATTGGAAAGAGAAAAGGCGAAGAATATCAGTAGTAAGTTGAGTCTGTTTGATAGATCAGTAAAGCCGTATAGTACTATAAACAACACAAGAACTTTCTAGTTCCTGTTTATGTGTGCTCCGTGAAACTGTCTGCGCACACTCGTATTCTTAACATAACACTCTTGATTTTACTGACGAAAAATACAGTATACATTTTTAACTTGTGCATATAGCCAAAGCTAGTCTAGGCAGATTAAAGTTATATCAAATAAAATTAATTAGTATAATTGAAACTTTTTCACAATTATTAATTGTTTAAGATTTAACAATAACAATATTTATCATAAATATTATGGGCGTAAAAATCAATTGTAACTGCACCTCTAAGTAGTGTCGCTACATGTATCCGCGCTCTATGATGCAGAATTACATGTAAGTTGTCATTTATTTACTGACAAATTTTGTCGCCTCCTACAATGCTATTGTTATAAGATTTGATAAAATTTCAGAAAAATGCGTGTATCGCACGACTATATGTACACTGTAGCGAGTCATATCCATGCGTCCTATTACACTAATACATTATCATTATATTCCAGTTTTTGGCCAAGTGGTTTTCTGTACCTGGCGGCCATGCTGACAGTCATATGGATAATGGAACTGTTTCTTCTCCAGGAAAGACTGGATAAACGGAAGTTTAATGTACGCCATGCGCACAACGATACAATCAAGTTTCAAGGGGTAAAGAAGTTATTATTGCAAATGTTACGTCATGCCTGGTGTTTATTGTAACGTCATGACGGACATTCAATGTATATTCTTGTTTAGCTTTTGCCAAAACAGAATGGAAAACAAAGATAATTCAGGGACATCGTGATGCTCCGAACCCTGGATTGGTGCGTGCTATGCATCACTTGAATACTACAATTTTGAATTTTCTTGTATGACATTCAGATCGACATCAAAGCAATGTTCAACACCACTGTTGCCGCAAAGAAGATCGGTGAACTGGGACTCGTGATTTTTATCATTCTTGGTCGTTGGCTTCTTCCTCGGGGACAGTTGACACGTGACCAACTGTCTGCATTGTTGCTAGGATACATTGGCATGGGTGCTGATATTCTTGGTAAGCAAAGTATATCTTACAAACATATATACAAAGCCAAGCATTTACGTAAAAATGTATTCTCAAGCATTTCGTCAATGTCGGCGATTTATCAATGTAATTACTAATGACGTCACAATGATATATGTCACACTAGTGACATGATGTCACGTATGCTTCATCGTACAGGTCTRTCACGGATCATACACAGTGTATTGTATATGAGTGTCTGGATACAATGAMATGTAACATTTCTTAATGTTTTAGATTTATTCACTTCTCTTTCTCATCCCAATGTGATCTATGACGTYACTGTGCATTACGTCATGCTGGCTGTATTTAGCTGGAGTATGCTTCAGTTTTGTATAACGGCAAGTGTAACTGCTGGATCTGAAAAAACGGTAAGGACGAGGACATCTCATTCTAGAGGACGAATTAAAGTCAATTTGTTCTTAGTTATTACATTTAAATATACCGAAGTTAGTTTGCCTGTTATTTTTGTGATCCGAATTCATACAATCTTTACTTTTACTTATGCACTAGTCAATTGAAATCCCCGACCCCCGGGGCTAGCGGGGTACTGAACGGGGGCGTGACGCGTTTTTAACGTGCTTTTAACAGCAAGATTGCCCCGGCCGGAGGTTCGGGATTTTGATGAATTGTTTTCGAAGCGGGGCAAAGACCGTGGATTTTAACTCGCGTTTGAGCATGTATACGGCTGGAAACTAGAGGTCGGCCATCTTGAGAAATACCCTGAAGGCATCGGTATTCAACGCCGCTTTTTTTATTTGTTTATTTTTCCTTGCATGAAAAATGTTTAAAAGAAACTTATTACACATGTTTTTCTCCGTCCAGCCGGTTAGCGTCATGTAGTACGCAAATGAGAACACAGTATTGTACAAAAATTAACCCTGTATATCACAGAAAATTTGATTGAAAGTGTTTGTTTTGTTATTAACTACTAGACCAAAATAGCCGGGCAACAGTAGCGGGGATTTTAACAATGAATGTGCACCGACTACCGGGGGAAATGTCTTATTTTAACACCACTCAAACGTTAAATTCCCCGGTATTCCCCGGGGGTCGGGGGTTTCAATTGACTAGTGCATTATTTTTCAYKTAAAACACTTTACAGAGAACTGAGGTTACCGTTGACGYTGAAGACGAGGAGAAGACAAGGCGTGTTTCGTTCGCTAACMATGCTATTAGCATCASCGAYGAAGAACCAGCTATTMAACCAGGTCGMCCRTCAGTATCCAGTAACAACGCAGATCCTGAGAAACGTARCCTCTTGAATGCTGATCTGCTTCAAATTTTACTACCTCTTTTCATGCAAGACGGGCCTTTYTTRATCCTTCGTCTATCTTTGTTGATCAAGTTTGAGGTAGCAAACGAGATCCACATCTATTTCACAGGAAAGAACGCCCTTATTATCGCTCTACTCTTTTATCGTCTTTACGGGTTGAACGCCAAAGAGGTACCACATACCAAGCATTGCGATGGAGCGCGTGGAAGTGTGTGTGTAGAATCGTTTACACTTGGGACAGAGTTCCCCGATCATGACGTCTCATTGCAAAATGTCTATGACAACGTTTTCGGAAGTTCGCCTCAAGAATCGATCAAAGAGGATAATCCAGATGTTGACCCAAAACCTAGMGAGACAGAATCAACAAACGCCATTGATTCTGATCACTCTRAAGATCTCAAAGACACTGCTCCCAACCCCATGCAAAGCACTGGTACTTCCAGCTCTCCTAATGAAACATCCGTACGCGACTCGAATGATGAACCAACTACCATGATTTCTAATAATGATGATGGGCGCAGAAATACCTCCTTTTAATCTATAGATGAGAACCATTTAACCATCACATGAGCTGCTTTTACAASACGCAACGCCCAACTTAATGAAGTTTCATATTATTATATAAATGCGGCATGCTAAACAAATGTATATCGTCACCACGCCACAGCCTGGATGAGTGGCCTCCGCTACAGACGTCCTATGTTGTTTAAGTACAACATCTCATGACATCCATAACGGAGTCCATTGAACGAGGCCAACAATACAATTAGCACAAATAGTTGCACCAAGCAGACAAACGTACCATGTAAAACAGTAACATTTTATTATATTATATTACATCTACTATTTACATATATCTTTCAGTTGTCTCGTATTGCAGTCAAAGTTGCCGTGGTTATGGAAAGACTAAACCATACTTTGGTAGTGTTTTTCTTTAAGGGTAGAGAGGAGTTTTTGATTGACATGTATGTCAGTCACCTTGGTTTTATTTATTATTTCGTCTCTTGTATGCTCGCTTTACGTGTTTCTTCTGTGCAACACTTTGAGCTATTCGACGTTTAAGGGAAGCTTGTTGTTCAACTAACTGAGCCAGCTGTCCTTGTTCTGCTAACATAGTGAGAAAGGTGCATACAAATGGGTCGTAGTTATGAGTACGACGACAATGATCTACCTGTAAAAAAACATRTTATTTATCATCATCAGTATCATTAACTTCATATGTCTACTTAACAATTAGACCTCGAGGTCGAGTGGACTACGAGCTAATAGCCCATGAGGCCGAGTCCGCAAGGCCGAATGGGCTATTAGCTCGTAGTCCACGAGGCCGAGAGGTCTAATTGTTTTAGTATAAACATACTAATCGGTCAAATAATGAAAACAAATTGAAATATCCTTAAAAYAATTTATTAATGAGATTGATTTTCCCGCGAGTGGTCTATCACAAATTAGACCATTAGTAGAGTAGCCAATCACAGCGCAGTATGAGTGGTAGACCATTAATATGTTTATACTAAAATATAATATAATAAAGTGTGAATTCAGTAGTGATTGCTTTGCGGAGTGTTGTTTATCCTTAATATCTCAATTGTATAGCAATGAGGAGACCTTTTTGTGCGTTTTTAGCTTGCAGAGGATATATTTCCAGTCTTTTGCCTGAAAGTTAACTACAGCGTGTAAACTTACATAATACTTTTTCCGTTTATCAGTCTCTTCTCTCTTCCCAGTTTCACAATTTGTAATTTCTCTTTCAACTTCATGAAGTTGTACTGCCAATGCCTGTACATGCAATTAAGTAATTAATAACTACTTAAAAAGGCCTCARATCAAGTAGAAAACGTTTCACTACCTTTGCTTCGTGTGAGGTGTTTGATAGATCTTTCAATTCTTCTAGCATAAGTTCTGTTGGACTTTTCTCTGGTTTTGACTCTTCTTTTTCTAGAAGTGAAATCAGAAAGTTGGTTGCTGACAGTTAGTAATTGTTTCACTTGAGAGTTGGGAAAGAAGAAGAGAGGGAAATCAAAGTACTCTTCTATCGTAAGTTATAATAAAAATATWGATTGTACCTTTTGATTTGGAAGATTTTTCTTTTGAACTTCCATAAAAATCCTCAAAGTCGGAGAATGTTTCTTCATAGTCTTGTTGATCTTCAGAAGGGCAAGTTTCTGTTGTTTCCTGTACAACAAACCATGTAATATGAAATAASGAAAACTTGCAAAAGTATTCAAGAATATGCATTTAGTGGTAAAGAATTTGCTACCAAAGGCTACATTGAGAATCACGAYAGGTTMTTTCARTCTTTGAAACAGTCAACTCACCCCACTTGCTTCATGATCAGAATTAGTAACTTGGACAGGAGAGTCAGGTCTTTCGCTTTTCATTTTAACATCTGAAATATTGTTACTAGATATTCCTGTTGCTTGAGCTCCCTTTCCACCTCTTGACGTATCTTGACTTGGCACTGTACTGGATGTTGATATGGAAACTGATGATGATGTTGCTATGGATACAGATGGTGTTGCCACGGATATTGTTGTTGGTGTTACCATGGTCATTACTGGGGAATTTGATGTTGCTATGGTAGCTGTTATGGGATGTGATGAAGTAGTAGATGCTGTAAAAATTGATGAATAGTTTGTAGATGTAGAAGTATTAGTGGAAGGATGCGTGGAAATAGGTGGATCGYTAGTCATTTGTTCTCCTGGTGGCGGCGGTGGTGGCATCAGTGCTGATGGATCTTCTTTATGTAAACTATTCTGAGGTTGCTGGCTTATATCTTGTGTAGTGTCGTTAGATGTTCCATTGAGTTTACTGTCATCTGAAGGGCTGTCTGTTTTTGACTTATTGGCTTCAACAAGCTAAGAATCAAACAGATAAAAGACAACCATGTAACAGATACTTGTACAGTAATAGCTACTAAAAATAGAAAAAAATAGTAGGAATAACTGACATGAATATCATTGATATGTGTTCATCACATTACCTCTTTGGCTTTACCAAGAATTCTTTCCCTAAAGATACATGACAATGTTTAGAGAAATTAGTSACTCAAATCAACATCTTGTTTATTCCTCAGGCACACAATCATGAATCACAATGTACAACATTTGCTTACCTGTCTTCATTGAGATTTCCCAGTCTTTCCTCAAAACCAAGTATCCTATCACTGACAACAGCCATGAGATTATATCGAATATCATGGAAAGGTTCCCTGTCAAACACAATTAGAAATAATCAATAAAACAAGAAAATAACTGGATAGCAGGTTTTCAAAGCTAATCAAAATTCAATAGTCTCTATGTATA